CTGCTCAAATTCTAAACCACCTGCTTCCATTGCCGAGATACCGGGCGCTCATATTATAAGGTAAGGTTATAAAAACCATCTTTTAAGATCATTTTAGTGAAAGTTTCATGCTTCAAGGCATACCATACACTGCTCAAATTCTAAACCAACTGCTTCCATTGCCGAGATACCGGGTACTCATATTATAAGGTAAGGTTATAAAACCACCTTTTAAGATAATTTTAGTGAAAGTTTCATGTTTCTCTCTCATATAATTTAAGAACAATGATGAATAAATCATTTTCAAGCAAAATTTAAATGGTCGGCTGAATATATTACCGCCGGAGAGACACGGCAGCAGAATTTAAATGACCGCGCGAAAGGGTTAATTGGTCTCTGTTTAAATTTTAACAGATCCTTCCTTCTGGTAGAGGGTCCTGATATAAAATCCATTTGCCTGTTTGAGTCCAGTGGACATACAGCTAATATCCCATAAAATAAAATAAAGTAGCATGTTATACAATGTTTCGCTTAGTGGGGGGTGGAGTCCAACTGGGTCCACTTGGCATGACAGCCACTGATTGGCCTGCTGTAGCCTGCCCTGGGTCATTATAATGGAGAATTCAGTGTAATGAAGATTGGCAGGGGAAACCAAAGTACTCGGAGAAAACCTGCCCCAGTGCCACTTTGTCCACCACAAATCCGATTTGACCAGACCCGGGATCGAACCCAGGCCACCATAGTGGGAAGACAGCAACTAACCACTTGAGCTATGGTGCGGCCCTTATACAATGTTACAGCAGGCCTCAAAATTGTGAAATATTATGAACATTGTGACAAACCTTAGGGTTCCATAAACAGTGTGGAATTTCTTCAGTAGCTCAGTGGCTACTGGCTTTGCAAAAAAGACTCTGCTATACTGAGTTAGTTAATTTATTCTATTCAGCTCACCATCAGAGTCTATAACTTCATCCACTTCCTCAGTTCCATTTACAATAGTCTTCAAATAAATTTCAGCACTCTGTGTGAGAGTTTGCCACACAGGAGGCAGTATCTGTGGGAGCCATGGCGCCATCTGCTTTGGCACTCGTTTAACTAGAAGTGTTAGCGCTGAAACATATATAAGCATATTTAAGTCTCAGAGAGAAGCAATTTCATCATAAAATTAAAATCAATATACAAATATTTAAATTATTAGTATAATATTATATATATAAAATTACAATTATTTTATTTAACTTTACCTTCTATGATGTCTGCTTTTAAACAAGAATCACTGTGAATCCCATTTGGAACTTGTAACCCACAAATAAACCTCTCAGAAAATGAAGGCAACACTGGATTCAGTAAAGTCCTTGTTACTCCATTATTGTAATCAGACATTGCAGAAATCATGAATACACACGTGGAGAAGATTTCCACTGCTCGCCCTCTGATTCGAACATTATACTTCTGAGAAACAAAGATGAAATATGTATACGGAGCACGAATGTGTTACATAGTGACTTACTTACTAATGGAGCTGAGCCACTCTTGAGCAGCCGCCAATTCTGCAGCTACTCAAGAATTTACCAGCATTTTATGGAACCCCAAGGGCCATTACTGTGTTCACAAGAGCCCTCCATTGGTCCCTATCCTGAGCCAGATCAATCCAATCCGATCCATACAATTCCATCCTATCTAAGATCCACTTTAATACTGTCCACCCACCTACGCCTTGATCTTCCCAATGGTCTCTGTCCTTCTGGTTTTCCCACCAATATCCTACATATATTCCTCTTCTCCTCCATTCGTGCTACATGCCCTGCACATCTCATCCTCCTTGATTTGAGCTTTCTAATTATACTTGGAGAAGAGTACAAGTTATGAAGCTCCTCACTGTGCAGTTTTCTCCAACCTCCTGTCACTTCATCTCTCTTCGGTCCAAATATTCTCCTCAACACCCTGTTCTCAAACACCCTCAGTCTATGTTCCTCCCTTAATGTCAGAGACCAAGTTGTTACATAGTGACTACTGAACAAAGCTGTTCCTCTTCTTCCAACTGCAGACACTCTCTTGTTTCTTCACTGAATTAATTACTATTGCCAATTCCATACATCACATGGGCTCAAATGAGAAATTACAGCATATCTGTGAGATTCCTGGCCACAGAGCTCAACAGAAATCCTACAGATGGCACAAGTTTGCTCTCATATTTCTGTATATCTCATCCAGACTGCACAAGAAAAAAAAGGATAGGAAAAAAGATGGGCTCCTATAGTGGTGCAATTCAGGACTTAAACGGTACAAACATGCAATGGTTATAAACTTCACAATGCTCTTAAAGATACAAGTAATATAAGCTCTATGTAAGGAAAAACTTAAGTCAATACATATACAGAATACACTGAAACAGTGAAACATCTTAGAAACAGAAAAGTATTACAGACTCTGAAATGTGACACTCTGAACGTATATGTACAGTTTATTAATTGCAACAAATTTGGTTATAATTTACACCAGAGTAGGTAATAGAAATGTTTGATTTCATTATCAGATCTAGTTAAAATCATTTTACTCTGTCATTTTCTCATATTCATTTCTGCCCTTGCATGTTATTTTTGTATCTAGTATAATGTATTCTTACAGCTGACATCATTAATCATAATGTTCTCACATTACATCATTTTTATTTCACTACATACAACAAAAAAATCGTTCCTAATGAGCATCAGAAAAGCTGGGTAAATGCAGTCAACAATAAGGACCAAATGTTTAGCTATCTTGGTGTGTGAACCCTTTTTTTGCCATTTATTCCCTTGTATGTCTGTATGCAGCTACACAAGATTTAACCAAAGATTTTTTTTGTATAAAACAATATTATAGAACTCATGGTATGTTTGTCTGCTATCATGTGTGATGGTCTCATCACAGGCTGTAGTTTGAATATTATGATTGTTTTGCAATCTATAGCTCTGCAACAAAATACTTTAATACAAGTGAAAGTAAATAAATGACTGCTGCGTGGAAACAGGCAAAAATGTTATAGTGAATCTAATGAAAAGTGAGAAAAATGGGCACATGAAACTGCACCCTGTGGAACAAAAACTGGAGTCACATAATTGATCACCATGACTGCAAATAGGCACAACAATGCTAACTATACACGAACTCTTCAGATGTTCCAGCATCATTAAATAAACCCTCAATCATTCCATGTACCATGAACAATGTACAATATAACAACTTAAAAACAAAAATTTTTAATTTATACAGACAATGGACAATTAATAAAACTGTAATTCACTGATCTCTAACATACCCCTTACCTGTTCATCTGAAAATATACGATACATTTCTGATAAGATGACTGGAGCAATGTGAGGAAGCTGCACGTCCGTCAAATCACGAGAAAACTCTCTGAGAACTCGCATCGCTCCATGCACTGCCCATTCATTGCCACTGGATAGGTAATTGACCAAGATATCAAACAGACCTGGCCAATTCTCTGGCCAATCCCAATGTGCTATAGCAGAAATTGCATAAGCTACAGATGATCGTACCTGAGCAAAAGAGGTCAGAAGTCAGGAATATTAAGACTGTGGTCTTCTGTGTTATGATAGTGTGTCATTTTCTAGGATCTTGCTGCTTCCATCTTCACTTCTAAACTTATAACGGTGGCCGCAGGGTAACCCAAAAAGTTTGTACCAACTGATGAAACCACATGGTAGCACAACTGAGAAACCAGTTGTAATTTTCACTACCCCAAAAATTTCAAATGTCAACTTAAGGCAGATAGTAGAAATAAAAATAGCAATAAAAATATATGAGAATCTGAGCAATATCTGAACATTTTTAAAACGAGAACCTTCATAATAAAATTATTTCAGCTGGGGGATATAAAAGAAACTAAAAGTTTAAGTCCTCTGCAATAACATATGAGTATGTCACAGTACTACTAACAATTTCATGCTAAATATATTTCAGTGTCTTTACAGGAATCTGACTTAGGAAATCTGGTATTATTCTTTTTAAAAAAAATAATTACAAAGGTCTGTTCACTCTACATGTCAATACGTTTCAACCTAAATCTTTTTTCACATATACACTGGTTCATACGAGGCCAAACATGAGGAACATTGTGTAAGATTTTGAGGTTTTCACAGTGGTGACTATGAAGAATGTCATCCTCTGGGATGTGGCACCATGTAGATCTTGTGTGAACGAGAAGACCCTCTCTCTTGATGAACTCATTTGGTTCGCTTGCATTTCGATTTACATACTGTACCTAATTTGATTATCTGGCTTTATAGTGTGTGTTATATTTTAATTATAGGTTAACCATGTAAAGTGTGATTGTATATTCATTCATTCATTCATCAGTAATCTGTCAGATGACTGGTCCACAGTCTCTTCCAAAACAGTTCCTCCACTTAATGTGATCTTGAGCTTTCTCCTTCAAATGAGAATATCCTCTTCTGTCACCATCTTCTTACATCTTCTGGTCACTTGTATCCGCCCCTCCATCTTTCCTTCAAATAACTTCTTTTAGAAGGCAGTTACTGCGTAAGATATGACCAATCCAATTAGCCTTCCGTTTTCTTATTTTGTGGAGGACCCTCCTCAACTCACTGACTCTAATTAACACTTCTTCATTTCTCACATAATTGGTCCAACTGATCTTCTCCATCCTTCTACAACACCACATTTCGAAGTTTTCCAGGTGTTTCTGATCTGCTGCCCTAAGTGTCCAAGTTTCAGCCCCATACAAAGCCATGCTCCAAATGTAGCATTTCACTAGTTTCTTTCTCAAATTTAAGTCCAATTTGCTGGTAAAAAGATTCTTCTTCTTGCTAAGTGCAGCTTTTGCCATGGCAATCCTAGATTTAATTTCACAAGTACACCTTCCATCATCTGTTGACAAGCTACCCAAATATTTAAAACATTTCACATTCTCCAGTTGTTTTTGGTCTATCTTTATTGTGACTGGGGTTGGTTGTCTCGAAATTTTCATTACTTTGTAGCACAGTTTCTTCCTTAGCCATTAACACAAGGTCATCTGCATATTTCAGTTTGAATAATCTGCCCTCCTAATTTGAAGTCTCCAAAGCCAACCAGAGCTTCCTTGGTAAGGCATTTGCTGTACAAGTTGAACAAAATTGGTGATAAACAGCATCCCTGTCTTACTCCTCTTCCAATCTTCACACTTCTTGTCCGCCTTCTGTCCAGTCCCACTCTCACTTTCTGATCCATTTACAATTTACTAATCAATCTTCTTTCACGCCAATCGATATCTGTTTCCTTTAGGATCTGCATTAATTTGGTCCAATTTACACAGCCAAATGCCTTCTGCCAGTCTATAAAGCAAGCACACAGTTCTTCATCTATCTCCAAAGTTCGTTCTCCTATAATTCTCATCATCCCAACTGCATTCTTGGTTCCTTTTCCTCTTCTAAATCCAAACTGATCATCTCCGAGTATATCCTCTATTTTCTTTTTGATTCTTCTTTTAAGTATCTTTGCTATTATCTTTGCTGTATGTGCAATAAGGATTACTGTGCGATGGTCACTGCATTTTGTAGCTTTAGTCTTTTTTTTTAAGGCAATCACTGTCACTTCTGTAAAGTCCTTGGGCCACTCCCCAGTTTCATATACAGT